CGGCGCCCCGTCCCACCTCTACCTCGACGCGGGCTTCAACAGCGGGCCGCTCCTTAGCGCCCGGGGAGTACGGCAAGGAGACCCAATGGGGCCCCTGCTCTTCGCGGCGGCCATACACCCAGCACTCCAGGCGACGGCCGCAGCGTTCCCCAGCGTCCTCTGCCTGGCGTACGCCGACGACATCACGCTCCTGGGGGAATCCTCTGCGTGCGCAGCAGCATTCACGCACCTCACAGAAGCCCTGCGCCCCCTGGGCCTAACGCACAACCCCTCCAAATGTGCGGCCTGGTCCTCCTCCCAGCCCCCCGCCTCCCTCCTCCCCCCTGGCATTCCCTTCCACGCCAATGGCCTGCGCATCCTCGGGAGCCATGTCGGCCCACCCGAGGCCACAACTGCCTTCCTCCGAGAGCAGCTGGCCGACATGGCCAGCCCGCTCCCCACCCTGGCTGCCATGGACCCCCAGTCCGCCGCCCTCCTCCTCCACCGCTGTGTCTCGCGGCGGATATCCTACCTCACCCGCACCACCCCACTCAACCTGCTGCCCGCAGAGGAGTGGTCCCGGTGGGGCCAAGAGCTCTTCTACACCCTCCTCCGTGCGTGCAAACTCCAGCTCCCCAGGGGGGAACGAGAATCGTCGCGCATTTGGCAGCAAGCATCTCTGCCCCCCTCACTCGGCGGTTTGGGTCTCACGGACCCCACCGTGGAAGGACCCCATGCCTTCCTTACCAGCGTCACCCAGGCCCACCAGCTCCTGGTCTCCCTGCCCTCGGACCCGACCGGCCCGCTCGCAGCCGCCGCTTGCTTCCTGGCTCCCCCCTTCACTTGCCCTACCCCTCTACATACCTGGCTGGCGGAGTGCGAGGCGGCCCTCCCAGCCCCAGCCTTGAAACTCCTCCAAGCCGAACGGGCAGAGCCCACTGACGACCCGCTCCAGCACCGCCTGGCTCTGGAGGTACACGCCGCCCGTTTCGCCAGCCAGCTGACCGCGTCAAGGGAGATGGACCCCAATCCCCTCAGCGGCCACACACAGAGACTTCTCTCCCTCACCGGGTATGGCGCCGGCGACTGGCTCCTCGCCATCCCCCTCTTCCCCTCGCTCCGCCTGGCACCCCCACATTTTGCCATAGCCCTGGCCTTCCGTATGGGCCTCCCTTTCCCTGCACCCAGAGTCTGCAACTGCGCCAAACGGGTGGTAATCGAGGACCCACGCCTCCCAAACCACCTCTTCCGCTGCGGGACAGGGCACGGCCGAACCGACACCCACAATGCCCTCCGTGACGAATGCATTCGCATGGGCCGGGACGCGCAGCTCATAGTCACAAAAGAGACTGCGATCTACAACCCCGTTGACGGCAAAACCGCCGACCTCGCTGTACGAGACCGGGACTCGGGGGCGGTCTGGATTTGTGACGTCACCGTCACTGACCCAGTAAGCCCTCGGGATCCCCTGGCCCGCAAGGGCCGAGGTTACATGGCCCGAGAAGAAGCTGACAAAAAGATCCACGACTACCGCCACAGGGCGGCGTATGTCGGCTTCTTCCCGCTGGCGGTCGAGACCTACGGCTGCCCTTGCGCCGAGGTACCAACCTTCCTCAAACTCCTGGCGCACACAGCCGCCCGCCGCCTCTTCAACGCTGACCCCAGCTCCTACAAAGCGGCAAAACTGCTAAATCAGTTTCGCCAGCGGTGGTCCGTCACCCTCCAGCGGGGACAAGCCCTCACCTACCTCGGGAAGGTGAATGAGGCTTCACCACTCGAGTGGCCGCCCCTAGGTGCCCCTGAGGCGGGCATGTCCCTTGGGGACTGCTTCGCGGTCATTGAGCACCCCAGGGAATAGCCGGGGACTAGGAGCAAGACCAGGAATACCATGCATGCTTGTACCTACCTTATATGCTTCGCCTGTACCCAGGATCTCCCAGCAATGAAGGACCGTTCGAGAGAGAGAGAGAGAGAGAGAGAGAGAGAGAGAGAGAGAGAGAGAGAGAGAGAGAGAGAGAGAGAGAGAGAGAGAGACAGAGAGAGAGAGAGAGAGAGAGAGAGAGAGAGATTGAGAGAGAGAGAGAGAGAGTCATGTGTGCACAGACAAAAAAAAACTCACATACACACATACTCACATACCAGGGCTTGCTCCTGGTAAGAATTCTAAGAAACCCACAGACAAGCGTTGCTCTATCATAATTGCACTTGGGGACGTGTCAAAACTCTCTAATGGGAGCAAAAGACACTCTCTAATGAACGGGCATTTGCTCCTGTATTACAACTTGCAACGTGGGTCATTGTTAAAGCCGCGGTACACATTTAAGGCGGCTCGGGGTGGAAATGTGGAGGTCAAGAAAGGCGGACGGAAGTGATTGGAGGGCGAGAGGCGAAAGGAAAATGTTGACGCAAATTGGGTTGAGTTTAGTGGAGGGGAAATTTTGCATCACCAAAAAGTGAATGTCCCGAAAGTGTCCTGAAAGTAAGCGGTCCGAAAGCTGTCCAAAATCTGCATGGAAACAATCCCCATTCCCTCCAAATTCTCACGCCCCAAACCACCTTCCAAAAAGTGGCAGCCACCTGTCCCGAACCAACCCAAGCTTTGAGGAGGCTGGGCCACTTTCGGGACAGATTAGGCTAAGGAGAGCTGCCCAGGGCTGGTTTAGTTTGATCGGACGGCTGAAACTCCAATTTTTTCGTCAAAATTCACCTTACCGTCGATTGAACTTTTCAGGTTCAAAGCCGTCAGATCAGCTCGGCAAGGATCTAACGGTCCAAAATCACGACTCGATAATGTAACATGGTTTCACGAAACGGTACATTTCGCCAAGCTACGAAACACCCTGGCGTACCCAAGCCACAACCCAGACTTATCTACACCACAAATCGGAACCCAAACTTCTTACATATCGCCACGTCATCTGCCCAAACCTCGCCCCTCCCGACCAAGCCTAACCAAACCCATGCCGTCCTGTCTTCAACTTCATCCCCCTACTCCTACCATCATTTCTTACTTGCAATTCGACACTTCAGATCTTAGCTAGCTCGTTCGTCATTACCGACATTACCGCCATACCCGCTCCTACCGCCATTTTAACGGATTCTTTTTCTGAAACGCCAATGCTGAAGTAGGTGTGCCACATCATGGCGTCGCAGGCTTTTCTATGTGGTAGCTTATCGTATCCCTTACTTTATTTTCCTTGTTAAATCCGTGCAGGCCCAGTATTGCGCTTCGGCCTATTTCTACCATCACGCGACTGCATGTGTCGATGTAAGACCTTGCATACATTAACGGTGATTCTTTATTTTTCCGACGCCAAAAACGCGTGATCTTGTACTGTCGTGTTGTGTTAGGTAGCTTTCGCGCGCTAATCCTTTGTTTTTTCACCGTGCTGCACTGTCGGCAGGCGAATGCGCAGTCATATTTAGCGCTAGGCTAGTGCAACTGTATGCAGGGTTAATCTTTGGGCAATGTCTATTCAACAACTGCGCGTCTGCATTTATTTTGAAGGTGTGTGTACCGTGCTTATGTGGAGCTTATTTACAATTTAGAGCGATGGTAGACTCCCATGAATTCTGCACACGCTCCAGGGATCTCATCGCATGCCAGATCGATGCAACAGTATGTAGAGGTAAGTATTTATTCTCTCAGCTACCTGAGTTTCTTTATTCTGTCTTTCTTTTTTCCACTTTCAAGGCAACGGCCAGACCCCGTTCATTTTGCCCACCCTCCAGTGTCCCATTGCTCTCAGGAATGATGGTCGTTTCCTGTTCGGGATTGCCCTTTACCTCTGTATTTCAACTCTTGTGCTTAAACAAATTTTATGACACTTTGTTTGCCTCATGTATTTTGCACGGCTTTCATTGGCGTGCTCTGGCCAAAAGTGCAGGTTGAGACTTATATTAGTCGTGTTATGGGTTTTCGTTACTTCCACGGAAATGGGTACATTAGATATTTTGTCTTACGTTTCTTCCACTGTTTATGTAATTGTAATATATCGCTTGTATAATAAAAATGTTTCATTGTAGCGTGACTTGTACAGAACAATCGAGAGCTACTAGCGAGGATGAATTGGACAGTTTATGTGATGCCTAGGGAACACTGTACAGAAACCTTAGGGCCAATTGTCGGACAGTTTCCATGCCGAGAGCAACCCCAAAAGTGTCCGGGTTCTGCCCCGCAAGCATCATACCTTCATTCGGAAAACTGTCTGAAACGCCATTCCGAAAAGCCATCTGTTTCTGCCCGGAATGTCTGTTCTCGGACAGTTTTGGTACAACTGATTTTGGTGATGTGACTTGCGATACTGGGGGAAACGGAATTGCGTCAGAGGGACTGGAATTCTCGGGATGGGGGGAATCGACAACAAGGTGGGGGGAACGTTAGAATTGCGAGGGGTGGGGGGAATCGAACTTGACTGGGGGGGAATTGGACTAGCGAGGGGAAGGGGTAACGGACTTGACGGGGGGAGTTGGACGAGCGAGGGGAAGGGGTAACGGAATTGACGGGGGGAGTTGGACGAGCGAGGGGAAGGGGAAACGGAATTGACGGGGGGAGTTGGACGAGCGAGGGGAAGGGGAAACGCGAGGGGAAGGGGAAACGGAATTGACGGGGGAAGTTGGACGAGCGAGGTGTGGCAGGGGGAATCGACTTTTGAGGGGGCAGGGAGGGCTTCGAAATGGGGGGGCCAGGGGAATCGAATTTGAGGGGGCAGGGGAAGAGTTTCGAAATTGGGGAGCCAGGGGGAATGGAGATCGTTGGGGGAAGGGGGAATCGAAAACGAGGGGGGAAGGAGGTTGGGAAAACGTGAGGAAAGGGGGATGAGTCGAGATGTGGCGATCGGGATTATCAGTAAACAAATGCCACAATACCCCCTCAAATGTTTATCTGCAGGTAGCGAGATCTCGCCACCTCCAGCAGACGTCACTCAGTTACCACTGTTTCAAATGTTTATCACTTGAAACAAATTGAAGTGAATGTGTACCGCGGCTTTAACAGGAGAAGTACCCGAGGAACAACTGACCAGGAGGAAACGGGGGGATTCAGGAAGCAAGGGGTAGAGCAGCAGCAGGAGAGCGAAGGGCGTAGCAGACAGGAGCACTAGGGTCCTGGAGGTAGAGGGAGGGAGGGAGGAGGGGAAAGGAGGTTGTATTGTGACTTGAGACGAGAGGGGTATCACAGCAGCAGGAGCACAAAGGGTGCAGCAGCAGGAGCACAAAGGGTGCAGCAGCAGGAGCACAAAGGGTGCAGCAGCAGGAGCACAAAGGGTGCAGCAGCAGGAGCACAAAGGGTGCAGCAGATAGGAGCACAAAGAGTGCAGCAGACAGGAGCACAAAGGGTGCAGCAGACAGGAGCACAAAGGGTGGAGCAGACAGGAGCACAAAGGGTGCAGCAGCAGGAGCACAAAGGGTGCAGCAGCAGGAGCACAAAGGGTGCAGCAGCAGGAGCACAAAGGGTGCAGCAGCAGGAGCACAAAGGGTGCAGCAGACAGGAGCACAAAGGGTGCAGCAGACTGGAGCACAAAGGGTGCAGCAGCAGGAGCACAAAGGGTGCAGCAGCAGGAGCACAAAGGGTGCAGCAGCAGGAGCACAAAGGGTGCAGCAGACAGGAGCACAAAGGGTGCAGCAGACAGGAGCACAAAGGGTGCAGCAGCAGGAGCACAAAGGGTGCAGCAGCAGGAGCACAAAGGGTGCAGCAGCAGGAGCACAAAGGGTGCAGCAGACAGGAGCACAAAGGGTGCAGCAGACTGGAGCACAAAGGGTGCAGCAGCAGGAGCACAAAGGGTGCAGCAGCAGGAGCACAAAGGGTGCAGCAGCAGGAGCACAAAGGGTGCAGCAGACAGGAGCACAAAGGGTGCAGCAGACAGGAGCACAAAGGGTGCAGCAGCAGGAGCACAAAGGGTGCAGCAGCAGGAGCACAAAGGGTGCAGCAGCAGGAGCACAAAGGGTGCAGCAGACAGGAGCACAAAGGGTGCAGCAGACTGGAGCACAAAGGGTGCAGCAGCAGGAGCACAAAGGGTGCAGCAGACAGGAGCACAAAGGGTGCAGCAGCAGGAGCACAAAGGGTGCAGCAGACAGGAGCACAAAGGGTGCAGCAGCAGGAGCACAAAGGGTGCAGCACACAGGAGCACAAAGGGTGCAGCAGACAGGAGCACAAAGGGTGGAGCAGACAGGAGCACAAAGGGTGCAGCAGCAGGAGCACAAAGGGTGCAGCAGCAGGAGCACAAAGGGTGCAGCAGCAGGAGCACAAAGGGTGCAGCAGCAGGAGCACAAAGGGTGCAGCAGACAGGAGCACAAAGGGTGCAGCAGACTGGAGCACAAAGGGTGCAGCAGCAGGAGCACAAAGGGTGCAGCAGCAGGAGCACAAAGGGTGCAGCAGCAGGAGCACAAAGGGTGCAGCAGACAGGAGCACAAAGGGTGCAGCAGACAGGAGCACAAAGGGTGCAGCAGCAGGAGCACAAAGGGTGCAGCAGCAGGAGCACAAAGGGTGCAGCAGCAGGAGCACAAAGGGTGCAGCAGACAGGAGCACAAAGGGTGCAGCAGACTGGAGCACAAAGGGTGCAGCAGCAGGAGCACAAAGGGTGCAGCAGACAGGAGCACAAAGGGTGCAGCAGCAGGAGCACAAAGGGTGCAGCAGACAGGAGCACAAAGGGTGCAGCAGCAGGAGCACAAAGGGTGCAGCACACAGGAGCACAAAGGGTGCAGCAGACAGGAGCACAAAGGGTGCAGCAGACAGGAGCACAAAGGGTGCAGCAGACTGGAGCACAAAGGGTGCAGCAGCAGGAGCACAAAGGGTGCAGCAGACAGGAGCACAAAGGGTGCAGCAGCAGGAGCACAAAGGGTGCAGCAGACAGGAGCACAAAGGGTGCAGCAGCAGGAGCACAAAGGGTGCAGCAGCAGGAGCACAAAGGGTGCAGCAGACAGGAGCACAAAGGGTGCAGCAGACAGGAGCACAAAGGGTGCAGCAGCAGGAGCACATGCAGCAGCAGGAGCACAAAGGGTGCAGCAGCAGGAGCACAAAGGGTGCAGCAGCAGGAGCACAAAGGGTGCAGCAGCAGGAGCACAAAGGGTGCAGCAGCAGGAGCACAAAGGGTGCAGCAGCAGGAGCACAAAGGGTGCAGCAGACAGGAGCACAAAGGGTGCAGCAGACTGGAGCACAAAGGGTGCAGCAGCAGGAGCACAAAGGGTGCAGCAGACAGGAGCACAAAGGGTGCAGCAGCAGGAGCACAAAGGGTGCAGCAGACAGGAGCACAAAGGGTGCAGCAGACAGGAGCACAAAGGGTGCAGCAGCAGGAGCACAAAGGGTGCAGCAGCAGGAGCACAAAGGGTGCAGCAGACAAGAGCACAAAGGGTGCAGCAGCAGGAGCACAAAGGGTGCAGCAGCAGGAGCACAAAGGGTGCAGCAGCAGGAGCACAAAGGGTGCAGCAGCAGGAGCACAAAGGGTGCAGCAGCAGGAGCACAAAGGGTGCAGCAGCAGGAGCACAAAGGGTGCAGCAGACAGGAGCACAAAGGGTGCAGCAGACAGGAGCACAAAGGGTGGAGCAGACAGGAGCACAAAGGGTGCAGCAGACAGGAGCACAAAGGGTGCAGCAGACAGGAGCACAAAGGGTGCAGCAGACAGGAGCACAAGGGTCCTGGCTGGGGGTAGAGGGAGATGGGCAGGGAGGGGAATGGTGGGGGCAGGGAGGGGAAGGAAGGGGTAGAGCAGCAGGAGCACAAAGGGTGCAGCAGCAGGAGCACAAAGGGTGCAGCAGCAGGAGCACAAAGGGTGCAGCAGCAGGAGCACAAAGGGTGCAGCAGCAGGAGCACAAAGGGTGCAGCAGCAGGAGCACAAAGGGTGCAGCAGCAGGAGCACAAAGGGTGCAGCAGCAGGAGCACAAAGGGTGCAGCAGCAGGAGCACAAAGGGTGCAGCAGCAGGAGCACAAAGGGTGCAGCAGCAGGAGCACAAAGGGTGCAGCAGCAGGAGCACAAAGGGTGCAGCAGCAGGAGCACAAAGGGTGCAGCAGCAGGAGCACAAAGGGTGCAGCAGCAGGAGCACAAAGGGAGCAGCAGCAGGAGCACAAAGGGTGCAGCAGACAGGAGCACAAAGGGTGCAGCAGCAGGAGCACAAAGGGTGCAGCAGCAGGAGCACAAAGGGTGCAGCAGACTGGAGCACAAAGGGTGCAGCAGCAGGAGCACAAAGGGTGCAGCAGACAGGAGCACAAAGGGTGCAGCAGCAGGAGCACAAAGGGTGCAGCAGCAAGGAGCACAAAGGGTGCAGCAGCAGGAGCACAAAGGGTGCAGCAGACAGGAGCACAAGCTTCTGGGATAGAGGGAGGGACAGGGAGGGCAGGAAGGGGAGTGGTGGCGACAGGGATTAGACAGAAGAGGTAGAGCGGAAGGAGGGGAGCAACCGGAGTAGCACGAGTACTAGGGTCCTGGGGTGGAGGGAGGGAGGGAGGGACGAGGAGAAAGAGAAAAACACCGTGAATGGGACCAGCAATAGGCGGTACACAAGCGGAATCGGAATGGAGGGAAGAGAGGAGCAACAACAAGTGTAGCCCCCCCGGGTGCAAGTGACAGCCACAAGAACCTGCGGAATAGTAACTCAAAACTCAGAGCAAGTAACGGCGGCAACAGGGATACCACAGAAGAGGAAGAGACAAAGAAGGAGCGGAAAGGATTACCTTACATACCATGCAGGCTTGAAAGTGATTACTGTACCTCCAGTGTAGACTCGGCATCACTGCCCAAGCTAGAGCTGCTTCTAAAAGCGAGCCAACCTGGAAGGGAGGGTGGGTGGATAGGTGTTGGAGAAAAGCGAGAGGCACATTGATAGGTATGGTGAACGGCATGGTGGGAGGTACGGTGATAGGTATGGTGAACGGCATGGCGGGAGGTACGGTGATAGGTATGGTAAGGCCCGGGAGTGAAAAAAAACCCCTTGCTTTAGCTGAAGGTGCTAAGCATTTCCTTGAGCTAAGCAAGTGCTTTTACTAAAGCAAGGTTGTATCACATGCGGCCTGCAGGTGCGTCACTTGCCATCCAGAAGAACTCGAAAAATACAAGCCAGCATCCACGGGAGTGAGAGGGCAGGGACTCCTCACAACAAGGTGAGAAGCCAACTAACTACATGCGTGCATCCCCTTTTAAGTTTCGTCACTCACAGTCCAGAAGAGCTCGATAAATACGAGCCAGAACCCCCACGAGAGGGAGGGAAGGAAGTCAGCACAAGGAGAGAAGCCAACAAACTATATGAGTGGGTGGGATGCGTCCCCTTTTAAAGTGTGTCACTTACAGTCCAGAAGAACTCGATAAATACGAGCCAGAATCCACGTGAAGGGGAGGGGAGGAACTCAGAGCAGAGGGAAAAGACCACTGATGCTCCCCCGATGCCAAAGCCAACGAGGCAGCGGGAGACAAGCAGAGTGAGGAAGGTCGGGGACCATGCACTGTTAGGTGGAGGGGGGAGAAAAAAAGCCAAAGCCAACGAGGCAGAGTGAGGAAGGACGGCGCGGGGTGGAGGGGTGGGGGAGAATAAGAGGGGTGGGCAGGGATGCCAAAGCCAACGAGGCAGCGGGAGACAAGCAGAGTGAGGAAGGTCGGGGACCGTGCACTGAGAGGTGAGGGAGGGGGGGGAAGGGAGCGCGGGGTGGAGGGGTGGGGGAGAATAAGAGGGGTGGGCAGGGATGCCAAAGCCAACGAGGCAGCGGGCGACGAGCAGAGTTAGGAAGGTCGGGGACCGTGCGCTGTTAGGTGGAGGGGGGAGGAAGAGGGGTGGGGGAGAAAAAAAAGGGGTGGGGAAGAATACAAGGGGTCGTCAGGAGCAACAATCCCCAGATGCCAAGGCCAGCAGGGCAGCGGGCGACAAGCAGACTGAGGAAGGTCGGGGACCGTGCGCTGAGAGGTGCACTGAGAGGTGCGCTGAGAGGTGCACTGAGAGGTGCACTGAGAGGTGCACTGAGAGGTGCACTGAGAGGTGCACTGAGAGGTGCACTGAGAGGTGCACTGAGAGGTGCACTGAGAGGTGCACTGAGAGGTGCACTGAGAGGTGCACTGAGAGGTGCACTGAGAGGTGCACTGAGAGGTGCACTGAGAGGTGCACTGAGAGGTGCACTGAGAGGTGCACTGAGAGGTGCACTGAGAGGTGCACTGAGAGGTGCACTGAGAGGTGCACTGAGAGGTGCACTGAGAGGTGCACTGAGAGGTGCACTGAGAGGTGCACTGAGAGGTGCACTGAGAGGTGCACTGAGAGGTGCACTGAGAGGTGCACTGAGAGGTGCACTGAGAGGTGTGGGGGAAGTGGGGGGGAGGAGGATTGGAGAAGGTTAAGAGGGGCGGTGGCTATTAGGCGACCAATGTACCCATAAAATCACCCGAGAAACACCAGAGATCGCCTAGAAATCTACTAAAGCGTAACATGAGGAAACATCCAGGGAATCACATGAGAAATGACTTAACAAATGACCTGAGGAATCACCTGGAAGAAAGAAAATCAACTCACCTGAGCAAGCCAGCAAAGAGGGTAAAGAGAGCCGTCGCCATGAAGCCTCTTCGCCTGCCATAGCTATCCGCCACTAGCCCCCACACATAGGAGCCCCTGTTGCAAGAGATGCCAGGAGGTAGACATGGGCAGGGGAGGGAGGGAGACAGAAGAGGGGTGGGTTCAGCAGTGGCCATGAGCCCTCTTCTCCTGCCATAGCTATCCGCAACTAGTCCCCAGACGTAGGAGCCCCTGTTGCAAGAGACTCAAGGAGGAGGAAGGCAGAGAGGGGGGAGAAGGGGGGGGGAGCCAGCAGTTACAAAAAGACACTCAGAAAAAGCACACCCGCTATAAGAACCTCCTCTGCTGCTCATTATTCAAACCTTGCATTCTGTCAGCAGGGTTATAGTAAGGCAGGAAGGAATGAGGGCCCGATAAACACTACACTCCTCTATAAACACACCCGCTATAAGACTCTCCTCTGCTGCTCATTATCCAAACCTTGCATGCCGTCAGCAGGGTAAGAGTAAGGCAGGAAGGAATGAGGCCTAAGTGAGCGAGAACTTACAGGAAGACCCCAAGGAACACCACACTCGCTATAAGACTCTCCTCTGCTGCTGAAAGGCGAAACTCACAACGTGCCTGGAAATATGAACATAAGGAGCAGAATTGATCGGAAAAGGCACAAGAAGGCACGAGACTGAGAATACTTTTGAGGCGCCTCAACACTTTTGAGACGACTTTTGAGGCGCCTCAACACTTTTGAGACGACTTTTGAGGCGCCTCAACACTTTTGAGACGACTTTTGAGGCGCCTCAACACTTTTGAGACGACTTTTGAGGCGCCTCAACACTTTTGAGACGACTTTTGAGGCGCCTCAACACTTTTGAGACGACTTTTGAGGCGCCTCAACACTTTTGAGACGACTTTTGAGGCGCCTCAACACTTTTGAGACGACTTTTGAGGCGCCTCAACACTTTTGAGACGACTTTTGAGGCGCCTCAACACTTTTGAGACGACTTTTGAGGCGCCTCAACACTTTTGAGACGACTTTTGAGGCGCCTCAACACTTTTGAGACGACTTTTGAGGCGCCTCAACACTTTTGAGACGACTTTTGAGGCGCCTCAACACTTTTGAGACGACTTTTGAGGCGCCTCAACACTTTTGAGACGACTTTTGAGGCGCCTCAACACTTTTGAGACGACTTTTGAGGCGCCTCAACACTTTTGAGACGACTTTTGAGGCGCCTCAACACTTTTGAGACGACTTTTGAGGCGCCTCAACACTTTTGAGACGACTTTTGAGGCGCCTCAACACTTTTGAGACGACTTTTGAGGCGCCTCAACACTTTTGAGACGACTTTTGAGGCGCCTCAACACTTTTGAGACGACTTTTGAGGCGCCTCAACACTTTTGAGACGACTTTTGAGGCGCCTCAACACTTTTGAGACGACTTTTGAGGCGCCTCAACACTTTTGAGACGACTTTTGAGGCACCTCAACACTTTTAAGACGACTTTAGAGGCGCCTGAAAAAGGCACAAGAAGGGCGAGTGACAAGTGTACAGATGAGTTATAAGCGTATAGATGGGTGATAAGTGTACGGATGAGTTATAAGCGTATAGACGGGTGATAAGTGTACAGATGAGTTATAAGCGTATAGACGGGTGATAAGTGTACAGACGGGGCACAAGTTTACAGACGAGTGGTAAGAGTACAGACGAGTGATGAGTGTACAGACGAGTGAAAACGGACGGTTGAATGAATACGGTTGGCTTTCTAGAATCTCAAAAGGCATGCCAGGGTGTTGAGAATTCTCAATAACACCCTGCAAAAGGCTTGACATGGAGTCACAAGCAATCCAAGCTGACTTTCGAGTTGACTCTTGACTCGACTTTTGAGTCGAATCAAGAGTCACAAGCCATCCAAGGCCCACCCAGTAACAGACGAATCGCAGGGTGTTTTTCAGAATTCTCAAAAAAAAGACTGCAAAATCAGTAACAGACGAATCCACACGTCGATCTAAACGCGGTAACCTAAACAATAGTCGACACACAATGCAACTAGAGTGCAGCAGAGTAAGAAAATTAACCCGTGTACTTACTGCTGGGCCTACAAAGGAGAGCAGGATCATCTCCATCGCGTCAGCAAGCCAGGCAAGGCCGGTGTAGCACACAAGGAAGAATTGATAAGGGCCGAAACCTGGTGGGAAAACGAAGAGGGGAGGAAGTGGGGGGGGGGAGGAGAGATGTGCGGAGAAAAAAGAGAGAAGAGGAGGACACAAGGCCGGTGTAGCACACAAGGAAGAATTGATAGGGGCCAAAATCTGCAGGGCAAGGGGGAGGGGGGTTGGGGATAGAATTAGCTGAGAAGCGGGAAGATGAGGGGGGCTCGAGGCCAGCGTAGCACCCCAGGAGCCGTCGGTAGGGGGCGAAGCATGGGGGTAGGTAGGTGGAGGGAATTGGGGAGTGGGGGAGTGGTGGCGAAGAGGGTGGGTGGAAGAGAAGAGAAAGTTAAGAGAAGAGGGGTACACGTAAGACGAAACAAGTGAGACCTCATTTCCTTTTTTTACGAAAAGAAATATATGTGTACATATATGTATTCTTATATGTCACGATTATATGACCATCGCTAGCCTCTAGTCAATAGCTCACCTATGGAGTCAATGGCGTCATCAACAGTCAACACCTCGTCTCCATCCTCACCCTCACCCTCACCCTCACCCTCACCCTCACCTTCACCCTCACCCTCACTCTCACTCTCATCCTCATCAGCAGCACCATTGTTGCAACAACCGTTTCCTTGAGGCAGAAGCTCACATCTGGAGTCACTAGCATCTTCCACGGCCCACACCTTGCCTCCATCCTCACCCTCCTCCTCAACATCACCCTCACCCTCGCCGTCACCCTCACCCTCACCCTCACCCTCACCCTCACCTTCACCCTCACCCTCACCCTCACCATCACCCTCACCCTCACCCTCACCCTCACCCTCACCCTCACCCTCATCATCCCCATCACCATCACCATAATTGTAACGGCACCGTAAGCTGGAGGTAATAGCTCACCGATAGAGTCAATAGCATCATCGACTGTCAACACCTCCTCTCCATCTCCATCCTCCTCCTCCTCCTCGTCACCATCCCCACCACGATGTTGACGGCCATACGTGCTTCTTCCATAATCCGCATCACTGTGAGCGCCGCTGGTAATGGCTGTGTGTGCCTCAATCTCCTGCTGCTGCTCCTGAATGCCTCTGCGCCACTGCTCCTCCTCCTCCTTCACTTGATCCACATCCGCCTCTTGCTCCTCCTCTCTGCTCTCTGCATTGCGATGGTCCCTTCTCCCCTCGGCACCTAGCGCACTCATCTCCACCTGTCACCAAACGAAAGCAAGGGCGAGATTGTCCAGGGCGAATCAGAGCATTGGATAAGAGAAACGCGGATCAGAGCCGTTCAAACCAGAGCAGGGGGGAGAAGGGGGAAGATTATACTCTGAGGAGGGCGGATGCTTTTCTTGGAGACGCCCAAGAAGAACCCAGTAGGGTTTCACTCGGACTGAAAAAACTAGGGACTCTGTGAATCAAACAGACAGACTCTTCTGTTTCACCAGATCTGAGCGAAATGGGACAGAATGGTGCAAAGCTACGAAGTAGCAACTGACTGATTGGGGCTTGCTTCTGAGTCGACTCAAAGGTAGCCACTGAATGGTGGTGCTAACTACTAAAGCGGGCACGGCTCAGAGATGGGCATTCATGGGCAAGGGAAGCGGCGAAAGACCGGTTCAGGAACGAGGATGCGGATGCACGGTTTAGGAGCTGTGCGGTTCAGAAGCCAAGGATGTGGATGAATGGTTCAGGAGCAAAATCGTACCCAGGGACCAGCGGAGCTCTCCACAGGCGCCGGCGGCGGCATTCCAAATCGAGGGGGGTAGTCCCCTGCGCGCCGATTCGTTAGAAGCCTTGATGAGGAGACTCTCTATCGCGGCGCCAGGCCCAGTGACGTGACGCGGCTCTACCTATCGTAGGTAAGGTGCAGTACCGCTGCGGAGCCGGCGGCCTGCTAGGCCGCGACGACGATCATGCGGTGTAGACAGGCCTAGTGACTCCACGCCACGAATGATGGCCGTCGCGGTTGGCCGGTGCACAGGCCGAGTGACGCCACGTCACGTACGCGGGCTGCGGAGGATATTTCTGCGGAAGCCGAGCGCATGCACTCTCGCTGCCTGGTCCGCGGCTTTACGTGACCGGAATAACTTAGCGAACAAGTGAGCGCCGAGCGCGCAGCTGTCGGTCAGCCGGTAAGTCAGCCGGTAAGTCAGACGGTTAGGCAGACGGGTTAAACAGACGTCAAAACTGGCTGTCGGACGGCTTGCTACTGTACCGCATATATATGCGCAATCAGAGGGGTGGTGGGGCTGTTTGGAAGGGTTCGGAAATGCGGACTGTACACGTGCGCAGACGCTAGGGGTCCGTGGGGCTCGCTAGGGTTCGCCACTGGGGTCGCAACGACGGGGAAATCGGCGCGCTACGCAGAGTTACTGGCCGCGTCTCCAGGAACTTTGATTGGCTGGAATTTTCCGATCAGTCGTGGCGCGGCTGCGAGGTGACTGGACAGTGGGCCGGCTTCGAGCGGTGTATCGCGTCGCGTACCCGTCTGTCTGTCACGATTCACGAATCGTGAGTCGCTAACGACGAGTCACGAAGACGCACGACGACATGCGAAGCCCATGTCGCCGAGCGTGGGCGGCTTCGTCACAGCAAGCAAGCAACCCAATCTCTACTGGACACGCATGCTCCTGTCATTCACCTAACCCCCATGGCCTGAACGCATATCTGGCACTCGCGGGTATGCATGAGAGCGACCGTGTAACGCGGCTTGGTCACTAACCTAGGTTATCAGGCCTTTCAATCAGTACATGCCGCGAAGCCCGTCTGTTACGCGAGATTCTAGAAAAGTAAGCTTCCAGTCTGACAGCATGCCAGTGTCAGTAGCAGAATGTCACCTGCTTATAGTGTGATTCGGAAACCTCGCATACACTGCTTCTGCTGAATTTGGGTGTCGTTCGTTCATGTGAATGTAAGTTTCCAGCATTTCACCTCTATATATATGGAAAACACCTTACACTACGAGTGTTTTACCATCAGGGCATCTCAGGCTTCTCGCATAGGAGAACTACACGAGAGCACAAAAAGGGCTTCGCATGCGCCCAGCATTTCGTTTACCACAAGAAATCAAAGAGCATGCTAGCAATCAAGCAATCTCATCATGGTCCCACACACACCATCCAAAAAGAACTTGCATGAGGTAGATCGAGCTTATTTCACAGCTAGTCCCTGGCAGAAATTTTGGAAACAAGTATTCACAATAAGGATGTTACTGAACACTTTGTCTTCAGTGCTTTCCTGGTCTTCCCACCACAGGGGTTGGTCCATCTACAAAGTAGTCTGGCTTGCGCACATTCACACCATACTGCAGCAGTCGAAAACAGCGTTGGGAAAAGAAGCGGGAAACTGGGTTCAGCAGCAAGAGAAAGTGTGAAGGGGAGAAAGCAAGTGAGCTTAAAGCCCTTGACTAAAATAGCAAACCCTATTCAAGTTGGACCCAGCTTGAACAAGAAAGGGGGCTTGGTTTGAAGTAGAGTTGGGGTTTTTCTTTTTGGGCAGCTGGCTGTGTTCGAAATAGATTCGGAAGCAGTTAGTGCATGAAAGGTTTCCAATTCGGAGCGGAACCACTGTTCACTTGCGAGTGTTTCGACGATCTCGCTCGTCATACAGCTTGCGAGGTGTCGCACTGTTTCTGAACCCCCCTGTGACACCCGGGAAGCAAACCTGGTCCCGACTTGAAAATCGAGTTGGGTTCCAGGGAAAACGATCGCACATGCGATCCCTTCTGACACGCCAGTCGCTCAAGTCGCGAGCGCGTCAGAAGTGTCGCACTGTACAATTCGCCAAGCTGATTGTTGCGTCAGCCAATCAAAATCGAGCAACAAATTTCAGATTCCTTTCCATCCGAGCAACAGTAATCCTAGTCAGTCATTCTATACTTAGACGGATTCTAGAAGGCAAAGGTTCAAGTTGGGCCCACCTTTGCTATTCTAGCCTCCGGCTTAAAGTGCAGGAGGCTGGAGTAGAGAGGACTGACCAAGGTTCGTAACCTTGCAACAATTCTAACAACAGACCTGTCTCTCACCTCCTTCAGCGCAGCAGCTAGGTCCTCTGTAGTGAGTACAAGCTTCTTCTCTTTTGGCCCTCTCGCCTTCATCTCCTTGCCACTGCCAGCCTGCCGGATCTTGCAGAACCTGGAAGGGAAACAGGGGTTTGGGTGGTTCAAGGGCTTATTGGACAGAGGAAAGGAGGGCAACAATGGCCAGTGGAGGCAAGAATTTAGGAGGAAAGTAAGCTTCAGATGATTTTCCTCGTCTTTCTTACGGTATGTTGTTCTTGCATTTCCCCCCCTCCAAGTGCATGAGTATTCGTCCATGCGACAAATTTCCGAATGCATCAGGGTATAGCACCACCAGAAGCACATGCAAGGGGAATAAGGCATGAGCACCCAGTCAAAATTCCCACAAGACATACTGTAGAGGATACACACTTACCATATGTGAGAGCACTATTTAACAATTTCTCACAGAAAAATGCATCTCAGATACATGTTTATTAACACTTACTGTAGAGCGTCACTGGCAACCTCCCCAATGAATTTATGTGCCGCCACTGACACGAGGCGAGTGCTGGTGCGAGCGAGAATGGAGAGAGGACGGGAGATGGGAAAAAAGGATTTGTATTTACTCAAAAGTCGCCTGGATTCATGGTGATCCGTTCATCCTAATCGACTATTGTGCCGCCACGGACACAAGGCGGGTGCTGGTGGGGGGGGGCTAAGAAGAGAGAGGCTCACGAAAAAGAACAAGATGCCGAAAATGACGATAAAACGATGAAATATGATGTGGATCGTGAGGGAGCTGTGTGTTGGATACTTCGGAAACACGTGTTTGCAGCCCCACCGGACGCGGTCGCATGTGTTTGCATCTTCTTATGCCTTTTGAGGCGTTTTAAAGTAAGACAAACTGCACGCGTCGTGATCCGAGTAACCAGACACTCACACATGAATGTTCGGATTCCGGACGCCAGAGGTCTGGAGATAGTATGCTGTGAGGTCGTCTGGAATCTGTGAGGAGTGGGCGCGGGCAAGTCAAGGCGGCGAGCACACAGGGAGGGAGGGTAGGAGACGGCGGGAGGGTAGGAGACGGAGGGTAGGCAACTAAAGATTAGTACGCTCTCAGGTCGCCCGGAATCTGTAAAGAGTGGGAACGGACAAGGAGGGAGGAGGGAGCGAGGATAGACGGACGAGGGAGCGTTGAGAGATTGTTTGGGTTTCTGACGCCAGAGGTCTGGACGTAGTATGCAGCCAGGTCATCAGCAACCTGCAAGCGGGTACTGACCAGCTGCTCGAAGCTCGCAAGAGCGCATAGCCGATGTATGCTATGCTGAGTGTAGAATGCACGCAAAAGTCACCTCGACAGTATGCGGCGAGGTCATCGGGAACTTGCAAGCAGGTACTGACCAGCGGCTCGTAGCTCGCCAAATGAATGGAGCGGCTTTTAAAGAGGCACGTTGGCCTAGCAAGGGATAGGAGAGGACACTCACCAGCGGGTCGTAGCTCTCTAGAGCACTTAATAGGCCCGTTAGCTTCTCCAAAGGGTGGGCGGGGGGTGTTCCGACGGCCGCATGAGACAACTCATGCATCTTGACCTAGCAAGGAAAATAAGGCACTCACCAGTGGGTCGTAGCTTTCTAGAGCGCCTAATAGGCCAGTTAGGTTCTCCGGAGGGGGTCCGTCTGACGCCATACTTGTTAGGAATGCTTGCAGAATTTAGTCAACACTGGACTACGGCGGAGACGTAGCGCGAAATAACCAGCTGAGCGGAAATTGCGTTGGTAGTTAGTATCGATGATGATCGCGGTTGCCGAAACGAGCCTGCTATGCCGCAATACTAGGAAGCGCCAGGAGCGGCGTCAGAGCAAACTGAATGAGCGCGAGGATTCTTATTCTTCACGTCATGCTTCGAAGTCAATAGTGACGACCGCTGCTGCAAATCCCTGTTACATAAGTAAATTCTCCATAGTTGATTTTCAAGCGTATTTTAGTCGCGAGGCGAGCTCTAGGGTCGGAGCGACGGCGCTGGGACGAGTGGCTCGGTCGGCTATTACTTAGTGTTCGAAACGTCCAGACATATTAGTATCAAAACAGAGAGACATCGAGAACTAGCCGCGACGCGACGACTCTCGTTCAGTCAAAACAGCCTCTAGTCGAGATGCCAGGCCGTCATACTATCAGTAATACTAGGAACAACCAACACGTGAACCAGGGAGCTAATGGCGGACAGAGGAGATGCTTATGTCTTGAAAGTCAGGTCACAGAGCATGAGGGCGAGCTTGAGGATTTCGAGCTCCTTGAGCATATCGGTCATGACACCGATGCGTCACAGTCCACAAGTCAGGTCACGCCCCTTCAGCTCTCCCTCTACCAGAGCCAAGTGGGCAGCCTTATGTACGCTTCCATCTGCACCCGTCCCGATCTTGCCCATACTGTTGCCATGCTCTCCCAATGCATGGCATCTCCCACACGCGTGCATCTGCATGGGGCACATCGTGCCCTGCGCTATCTCAAAGCAACCTCTTCCTTTGGTCTCCTCTTTCAAGGGTCTGAGGATGCATGCATGCTGTATGGCTTCACGGATGCAAATTGGGCTGGGGATGTACCACTCGCAGGTCCACTGGTGGATACATCTTCATGCTTGGAGGAGCGGCCATCTCTTGGCAGTCGAAGAAGCAAGGCTGTGTGGCACTATCATCTACAGAGGCAGAGTACATGGCTGTGACCCAAGGAGCCCGAGAAGCAGTGTGGATAAGAGGTCTCTTGAAGGAGCTTGACCTCCCACAGGAAAATCCTACTCCCCTCTTCATCGACAACACATCCGCAATTGCGCTCACCAAGAATCCAGTTTTCCATGGGAGAACCAAGCACATCGGCACGCAGTATCACTATGTTCGGGAGCTAGTGGAGCAGAAACTCGTTGAGCCTCTTTTCTGTCGTACAAGCGAACAAGCGGCAGACTTCCTCACCAAGGTGGTTGCTCGTGACACCTTCATCAACAACCGTGTTCAGGCATGACTCGTTGCAGCCGCAGACGTGATGCAGATTTGATCCATCAATACATGAAGCAGTTGAAGCAGTTGCAGCAGTACCTGTTGGAGGGTATGGGCTTGGAGTGAGGGAGGGTGTTGTGAGTGGCACGTGATGCGCGTGCCACATTTCTCTCGCCACTCCAACCCCTCCCCCTCCAAAACCGCTCGTTACAATTCTTTACCTACCCCAACCCATTTCCCACCAACCAAACTTACTCTACCTACCAAATTTCCAACCCAACTTTTCCAGCTCATCTCCTCCAACCTAAGGCCTCCCAACTATTCCTTAATTTCCCCAACTCTCATAATCATTCCTAGTCCACCTCAACCAAGCTTCCAACAAATCCTCCTATTCATCTCCAACTCCTACCTCAAGGCACATGACTCTTCATCATTTTCCATGTGCTCTCTCTTCCTACTCATCAAGAATTCTCCAAGTCATCTACTCCAACCAATAATCCTCCTCACATGTGCCTCAAGCACATTCCCCCCTTCCCCACTCATCAACCTCCACATGCCTCTTATTTATTCCTTCCTTCCTTCCTATCCTAAGTCATCCAAGTTGTCATATCATCACACAAGACTCTCATGATTCCTTACTTTTCTCACCTTCCAACTCAACAAAGCTTTCATTCCTCCTCCTCTCCTTCCTTTCCAACTCATCCAAGTTTCTCTCCAACACCACATGGTCTACAACTCCAAGTCACCAAAGGCTCAACAACTATCACATGCTCCACTACTATTCATCTTCACCAAGAATCCTCTCCAACTTCTCAAGAAGTTTCTCAAAGTACAACAAGGCATCTCCAAGCTCCTCTCCTCCAAGCTCCCCTTCAAGTCTTCTTCAAGCTCCTCAAGCTCACACCACTACAAAGGCTCCTTGTTAGCATTCATGTTCTATGTCTCTAGAGATGGTATTACCATGCTACCTTTCTTCCTAGACTACTATGAGTGGTCTCTTTCTCATGCATGTCCTTGTATCCACCATGGATTATAAGGCTTGTACTATACCCTATTTCATATAAGTTTATGCTCTCAAAGTTCTCCCACAAAGTTCCTAGATTAGCAAAGTAATCAAGCATTAGTCCATCTTATACCCAATTCGAGTATAAGATGCATCACCAAGCCACAAGCTTGTAGGAAGACTTACTTCTTCAACACTCAACCTTGTGGTATCTTCACTCGTCAAGTACAAGACCATCTCCTTCAACCACATCCAAGATTGTGGTCCCCTCTCAAGCTTGTGGTGTCCTTCTCTACATTCTCAAGACCCTTTCCCAAGTGCAAGACTTCCTCTATCAAGAACCGCTCCCAAGATTCTACAGCTTCTCTACTTTGTAAGACACACATAAGCAAAGTCTCTCACTCTTCTTTATAAGCATCTTTCTCTCCACAAGTCCCCTTTTACTCACTTGAGTACCTTTCCACTAATTCTTCACAAGCACATTATAATTCCATTTATATGTGCTACAGTTCTACTATTGCACTCTTGTCCTATTCAATCGTACAATCATACTCTTTTGTCTTTATCTCAAGTTTTATCATTATGACGGGTTCGGTGCCAGGGGCTCTTCACAGCTCATCATGCGAAGCTCTACAGTTGTAACTTTCGCTCATTTTCGGTTCGTTTTAACGCTGAACCACCCACTGAAACACTGTAACTGAAACTTCGGGATAGCAAATACCGGGAGAAATAATGCCCTGCCTCCGTTCTGACCGATTTGATTGAAATGAACTGAACTGAGATTGTGATTCAGGATTATCCAGCATGAACGGGTCCTCGGAGTGACTCTAGCCTCAGCCTACATTGAAAATCTCCGGGCACTCGTGTACGGAAGAGACTGGATTACATCATTGGAGTAGATTCAGATAAGGTAGAGTCTAGGCGTGCTGTAGGTCGTTTGACCCCTGAGTGAGATTTGGGGTGTTTCAGAGCCCCGTCAGGCGTCAGTGAGGGGCATAGGCGGCACGCTCGTTTGGAACCGTCAAATTTCGCCAGATTCCGTCATGGCGGCTCGATGGAGGCTTGACGGTCAGACGGCTCTCGTTACCGGCGGGACAAAAGGCATCGGGTAACTAAACGACGCGAGGCTCTCGCGAGGCTCTCGCTAGGCTCTCGCGAGGCTCTCTTCCCATTCGTGCCGCCCCCCTTTCTATCTTCGGAGGCCTTCTTCCCCTCGAGACAGGTCCAACCTTGATTTTGCAGGGTGTTTCTGAGAATTCTCAGAAACAACCTGCGAAGATAGGTCCAACCAAACGCCTCGCCGTTAACTCGCCAGTAGCTCGCCGGTAGCTCGCCGGTAACTCGCCGGTAACTTGCTGATAACTCGCCGGTAATTCTGATAATCGTCATGTTTTTCCGGTAGTCGGGTCCGAGTTAGCTCGCCGGTCGCTTTGTTAGCTGCCAATGACACCAGATGCGCCGAGGTGACTTAGATTCGACTCAAAAGTCACTCATGAAAGCGGATGGGCCGAGTTTACTCAGAATCGGACCTGGCGACGGTGGAGTCAGTTAGCCATGATAGCCGAGATCCAGCCTCCCGGGTCCGCGTTGTTAGCTGCCTATGAAAGCGGATGGGCCGAGTTTACTCAGAATCGGACCTGGCGACGGTGGTGTCAGTTTGGGCGTCAAACTGACTTGTTAGTCGACTCGGGAGTTTGGTCCTCATGCCCTCTCTTCACCCCAAACCCCACCCCTCCCCAACCCCCTTTTTTATTTGCCGCGAATCTCCCCCTCCTTCCCATCAGTCGCGCAATTGCACACGAGCTCGATCCCCCTTTCCCCCTCCCCCTTCTCTCCTCTCCCCTTTCCCCTTCCTCCCCACCAGTCGCGCCATGGCGCAGGAGCTACCATCCCTGGGCGCACACGTGTTCCCCACCCGCCTCTTCCCCCCCCCCCCCCGTTTTTCCCCTTCCCTCACCCTTCACTTTCCCCCCTCTCCTTCCACCAGCCGCGCCATTGCACAGGAGCTAGCATCCGTAGGCGCGCATGTCGTCCCATCCACCTTCACCCCAACCCCCCCCCCCCCCCCCCTCTCCCCCTCCCCCAATCCCCCCTTTTTCCCCCTTCCCTTTCCTCTCACCCTTCACTCCCCCCCACTCGCCTTCCACCAGCCGCGCCATTGCACAGGAGCTGGCATCCCTGGGTGCGCACGTGTTCGTCTGCTCTCGCGCGGAGGCTGACGTGGCAGCTACAGTGGCGGAGCTACAGTCGCAGGGGTGGGCGGCGACGGGGTGGGCGTGTGACGTTAAAGAGGCGGCGCAGAGAGAGCAGCTTATAGGGAAGGTTTCAGAGGCGTTTGGCGGGAAACTGAACCACCTGGTAAGCGGTTACTACCCTGGCAGGCTTTCTGCCCATATTGCCACCAAGTCTGCCAATTTGATTCATCACACCTGTCCCTTCTCATCTCGCTCACTCTTCCCTCCTCTCCTTGCAAATCCAGAGTGTGGGAACTAACATTCGCAAGCCAACAGTCGACCACCCACTTGCTCATGTCCACCATGTGTGCGACACCAACTTCGAATCCGCCTACCACCTCTGCCTATCCTCTTGGAATGCCAGTCGCTTCACCCACTCTTCCCCTTTCCTACAGGTCAACAACGTGGGCACCAACATCCGCAAGCCAACTGTCGACTACTCCCTCTCGGAATTCCACCACGTGTGGGGGACAAACTTTGAGTCCGCCTACCACCTCTGCCAACTCGCGCACCCGCTGCTCAAAGCCGCTGCCAGCGGTGATAGTTCTGCCGCTGCTGCTGCTGGTGCAAGGGGCAACGCAAGCATCGTCTTTAACTCGTCTGTGGCGGGGGTCGTTGCTATTCGGTCAGGGACTCTATATGGTGCCACTAAGGGTGAGTGGGGTATGCCTGTTGAAAACTGGTGGTGGTAGACCATGAATCCGCTGGCAAAGAGCCTGGCATGTGAATGGGCCGAGGAGGGCATCCGAGTGAATGCAGCGGCGTGTCCTAAGGCGCCGCATGGCTTCGCCCCCACTTCTTCTCTCCTCCTCGCTCCTTTCCCATGATGATCCACTTTATCTCCCAGCTGCCATGAACCAGTTCACCAAGAACTTCGCGTGTGAGTGGGCCAAGGAATGCTTTCACTCAAGACCATTCTCCTTTTCCTCTTCCTCCCTCTCTCCCCCCCACCCCCCGCTTCCTTTTTCCTTTCCTTTCCTTTCATCGATCCTCCCTCCCTCCAGCCGCCATGAAGCAGCTGACCAAGAACCTGGCGTGTGAGTGGGCCAAGGGCATCCGCTCAACACCTTTCTCCCGTCCTGTCCCCTCATGTCCCAACCTGTATCACTCCCAGCCGCCATGAACCAGCTCACCAAGAACCTGGCGTGTGAGTGGGCCAAGGACGGCATCCGGGTGAATGCAGTGGCGCCGTGGTACATGGCAACAGATCTCGCAAACCAGGTATGCCTCTGAAGGGGTAAGCTGTGTATGTAGTGGAGATACCCCCCCTTCTCCTCCTCCCCCCTCCCTTCTGAATGCAGTGGCGCTATGGTACATGGCAATGGACCTCGCCAGTCAAGTGTTTCTTCCTTATGGATCTATCCCCACACACTCCGCACACAACCCTCCTCTCCCCCTGAATGATGTTGCATTGTGGTACATGGCAACAGACCTTGCCAAAAAGGTGAGTTTCTAGAGGTGACTCCCTTCCTTCCCGCCCACCTTCCCTGTTGCTCTGGCCAATCCGATATGCCTTTTGTGCATCGTGACATCCTAAGGGCGTTCGCATTGGGTCGCTTAGCGTGCCCGTGTGGCACATTCAGGCGACGGATCTCGGGCGAGTCTGATATGCATGATGCAAGACGGAAGGGATCAGACTGGATCTTTCACGAGTCTGATACTGATACTGGTTCGTAGGAATACGCCCTTATGCTTAAGAAGTATACGCTATGCGTCCTTGTCCCCCAGGTTCTCAAGGACGAAGCGTTCTCGGCTGACGTCATAAGCCGGACACCGATGCGGAGAGTTGGGGAGCCCCAGGAGGCAGCAGCAGCTGTGGCATTCATGTGCATGCCTGCAGCTTCTTATGTGTCTGGGCAAGTGCTGGCTGTTGATGGTGCTTTTACTGTCAATGGCTTTTATCCTCGGACTGACGATGTGTGATATGTCGCTAGCACAATCTTGAATTCAAGCGTGCATTCTCTTTATTGAGTATAATAACACAAGCTAGAAAAAGAGTGCCCCTTTTGCATGTGCAGCTTTCTTTTGGTTGTGTGATTTTTTTAACATCGGTCGGAATGTAGTCATGCTTCTTTTGTTGGGCCCGTGCTGTATCGCGGATGCATCGAGGGAACGGTCACTTCGGATTTCGAGGAATCTATTACAGCCATGGCGGTCAAATTGACAGTGACAAGTTCGAGACACGTTCGAGAATGTCGAGAAGCACAAGAAGACAGCAGCTTGCCTTTGCTGAAAGAGACCAGTGACTGATGAGCAACTGAAGACTCTGAAAGGGAGTTTTTCTCGAGAAAGTCGCACCGCGATCTACGTTAGTCCGAGCATTCTTGGAACGATACCTGTCTTGTAGCTCACAGAGAGAAAATTCGGTCGGGTATCGCTGTTTTCGAGAATGGACGGAAAGGTGCTCGCGACGTCCCATGACGCATCACGCGTCGCCTCAACGCAATTTCCGCCGGCTTGCACGTGCTTCGCTTTCAAGACGCATACGAAACGCGAAGCGTGTGCAAGACACAGTTCCCGACGCATACTCTTCACCCGCTCCCTCACGCGACTGCCGTGCGGCCTTCCTTGTCCCTCACGAGGTGACTTTTGGGTCGACTCAAAAGTCACCAGACGCATACTCTTCACCCGCTTTATCGCGCGAATGCGGTTCCGCCTTCCTCGTCCCTCACGCTCCCCAATCCGTCTACCAATTGGCGTTATTCTCTCACTCTCTCCCCTTAGAGGCTCCTCCACCGTCCTCCTATCAAAGCCCTGAGATGCTTCCCAACCGTCCATCTTACAGGCCTCTATTCGCTGAGAAAGTAACTCTTGCTCGCAGTGAGTCATTCCTCTCGCCTGAAATATTAGCATTGCACGCATCGTTGAGTAATCAAGCAATCCTCGGTCCGCTGGCCTTCCTCGAATCATCTGTTTCCGTACGAGCCGTGATTGGCGATCGGAGTGGTTTCAGAAAGCTAGCTTAATACGGAGCTTAAAGCTAGGTGAGAGAGAGCTCCGTTCCAGAGAATTCGAGTATGCTCACAGTAGCCATGCAAGGGTAGTGCTTACAGTGACCATGCAACAATCTCCGAGTGAAATCGGAAGAAGCAGCTGCTCTCCTGAATCTGTAATAGGTTTTTGAGAAGTCTCAAAAGTCTGTTACTCTGACGCAGCAGCTGCTTGAACATCCTCGATTGTAGCTGTTCTTCTGCATCAGTCCTTCGAAGCTCAGCTCCCAGCCATGCCTCTCCATCGGCATCTCTCCACCCTCGACTACCCTTCCCCAGCCTCTCCTCCCCCACCCTTCTCCGTCCCGATCCTCGCTTTCTCTCCAGAAATTACATCAGCACTGCCATCCTCCTCCCATCTAGATTCTCCAGACTCTCGAGAACCAAATTTCTTTGACTCCACGACCATACTCCGAGCTCTTTCCATCTCGGGACTTCTTGTGGTTATCGGTGGCCTCCTCTGCCTTATCATCTTCCGATTTGCTGTGGTGTGGATCGAGTGGACGAGAACACGCCACGTGTCGCCCTGGCGTCTCTTTTTCACCCTGCCCTTCACCCACCCGTTGTCTCTAAACGCTGATGGTTCAGCCTCGGCTGGTCAAGCTCCCTCTGCTGCCCACACCCAAGGAGGGGGGGAGACGGATGCCCCTGCTGATGTGGAGCATGGTTCCACCGATGAGGTATGGAAGATTGGTTTGACCTCTGGTTTGTGCTTTGTTCTATGCACATGGTCCTTTTCTGCTTCGTGTCTTCTCGCCTGGTCAAACCTCCGCTGCCCACACTCAAGGAGGGGGGGAGACGGATGCAGCTGCTGATGTGAAGCGTGGTTTCTCCGATCAGGTATGGAAGATTGGGTTGATCTCTGGTTAGTGTTTCGATCAATGTTTGCGTCCTTTGCTGCTTCTTGTATTCTTTGCTGCGTCTTGATTTGTTTTCTTTGGTGACTCTTGCCTTCTTTGGTGACTCTTGGCTTCTTTGGTGACTCTTGGCTTCTTTGGTGACTCTTGCCTTCTTTGGTGACTCTTGCCTTCTTTGGTGACTCTTGCCTTCTTTGGTGACTCTTGCCTTCTTTGGTGACTCTTGCCTTCTTTGGTGACTCTTGCCTTTGCTGATCTTTGCTTCCCTCAGTCCCCTCCAAGCTCGTGCGCAGCCAACTATTATTCACATATAGCACTCGTGCATAGCTGTCACCCATTATTACCTGACAACTTTGCTTGGTTAACTTTCTTCTATTCCCTCTTGAACCCCCCCCCCCTCTTCCCCCCCTCCCACGTGACTTGCAGTCTCGGGGGCAGGAAGCAGCAGCCAGATTAGGGAAGCCAGTAAGAAAGGGAGCAACCACGCAACAGCTGGCACAGCTTGTTTCCAACCCCATTGGGACGGAGCAAGAGAAAAACGAGTAGGTGCTTTTGCAATGTCAGCTTCTTTTGACACTGTCTTTTTCTCCCAGAAGCTTCCATCAATTCATGGCTTGCAGACGTCATCATCACCACCGGTACGGTCTGCTGCTCCCATTCCCTCTGCACCAGGTGTATAGTCTGCCTCTGTGACATGGTTCTTAGGGAGACAGCAACCATTCTCCCGTGCTGCCAGAAGCTGTTTCACCAACACTGCATCGTGGCGTGGCTTTCAACAGCTGGGTCGTGTCCCCTTTGCAGGCGCACACCATTTCCAGCTTAGTGCCGTACCAGCATCATGTCTGCAACCACTCTCCCATGCTGTCAGAACAGAAGAAGCCGTTTCACCAGATGTGCATCTTGGCGTGGCTTTCAACAGCTGGAGCATGCCCCATCTGCAGGCGCTCACCATTTCCAGCATAGTGCAATACTGGCATCGCGTATGCAACCACTCCCCCCTGCTACCAGAACAGAAGCCGTTTCACCAACAGTCCAGCATAGTAGTACCAGCATCATGTCTGCAAGCACTCTCCTGTGCTGTCACAACAGAAGCAATTTCACCAACACTCCATCGCAGCATGGCTCTCAACAGCTGGGTTGTGTCCCCTTTGCAGATGCTGGCCGTTTGCAGCATATATAACATCATGTCCGCAACGATCATGTACAGTACACAGAGTGCCGGAGGACCCACCCATAAATATGTCAACACATATTTGTATATGTTTATAGGCTAGCTAGGTGCATGCCCATAGAGAGTACAACACCGATCACAAAACTACCCTGTACCATCTTTTCTAGTTATTCCACTTCTCTGAGATGGTATCAGCTAGGTTAGGTCCGCCTGTTAGGAGGGTTTAGCTAGGTAGGAAAAAATTAGCAAGAGAAAAGAGGGGATTAACTAGGAGAGAGGTACAGCAGATGCGTTGTACCCTCTACAGTAAGATCCAGTCATTTGTAGAAGAGCTAACACCTACCAAGCCTACATAGATATAATATATATAAATTGACACACCCCCAAGCCCTTGCACCCCCATGTCATGCAGCAGCTGTGGCTTCTACCCCTCGTGTGAAACGGCGACATCGGCGGCGGGTAGCGGCAACGGCGTCAGCGGCTGCTACGATGACGACAGCGGCGGCGGCGGTGACGGGTGGCGGCGGAGGCAGCGGCGACTTCGATGACAGCGGCGGCGACTGCGAAGCTCGCGGCACCCAGCGGTGTGGCACGGCCCAGCGACGACAGGGAAGGGAGCCATCAGCTGCGGCTGGGATGAGGGGAGACGCAGGGGAGGGGGCGTGCCTTCAGCGAGGCGCTCTGGCTGGCGTGCTGGCTGGCGTGTGGGCATGCTGGCTGACGCCTAAAACAGTGCATTGGCCGCAGCCGTCCGTGCGCTGGCGCATCGAAGCCGCCACGGCAGCACGACGATGCCACGACAGCACGACGACGCTGCCGCGGCAGCCCGGCGAGGCCGCCACGGCTGCTCGACGAGGTCGCCACGCGTCGAGGCTGCCATGGCAACAGGACGTGGCCACCACGGCAGCGCGTCGAGGCCGCCACGGCAGCACATGGAAGCCGCCACGGCGGCGCGAAGTGAGAGGAGAGGAGAGAGTACGCGGCGGAAGCATGAATAGGAGGCTCAGCAGGATCATCCTACTCTGAAACCATGTTAGGAGAGGGTTTAGCTAGGTAGGAGAAGTAAGTGAGAGAAAAGAGGGGATTGACTTGGAGATAGAGAGAGGTACAAGAAATGGGTTGTACCCTCTACAGTAGGATCCAGTCATTTGTAGAACACCTAACACCTACCAAGCCTACACAAACATATATATATATATAATATATATATATATATATAAGTTGACACCACCCACCAACTTCCGCCCTAGCCTGCCTCGCCCGCCCTAGCCGCTCTAGCTGCCATAGCCCACCCTAGCCGCGGTAGCTCGCTGGCCCCGCGCCCGCTGGCCCCTAGCTCGTCGGCCCCACACTCGCCCGCCCCACGCTCGCCGACCCCGAGCTCGCCAGCCCCGCGCTCGCTGGCCCCGCGCTCCCCGGCCCCTAGCTCGCCGGCCCCGCGCTCGTCGGCCCTGTGCCCGCTGGCCCCTAGCTCGCCGGCCCGGCGCTCGTCAGCCCCTCACTAGTCGGCCCTGCGCTCTCCAGCCTCGTGCTCGCCGACCCCGCGCTCGCCGACCCCTAGCTCGCCGGCCCCTCGCTTGCCGACCCCTAGCTCGCCGGCCTCTTGCTCACCGGCCTCTTGCTCGTCGGCCCCTAGCTCGCCGGCCCCTAGCTCGCTGGCCCCTAGTTATAAGGTGCCTCACACGAGAAAGGCGGGTAAGACTTCAAAAAAAGAAGTGGTTGACCCCCTCACAGCCACGGTACAACATGGTGGTCATGGAGAGAGTCGTGCGTACCAAATCCAAGACCAAATGCAGGGGAGCTTGTGCTGGTGAGAGGCGCTTCCATCATTGTGTAGGTGTGGAGCTTTGAGTGCGAGTGTTAGAAGGGGCCGCTTAGCTGCGGACCACATTGGGGAAGGCATGGGCCAGAGGATGGGATGGTGGCGAATGGGAAAGGGGAGCGGAGGGGCGAAAGGGTAGTGCAGAAGTTGACAGTGCAATCGAGGATGAGAAGGGACTGCAGAGCAGAGGGTAGGGTACACTGGGTTGAGAGTGGAATGCAGGGTCAGCAATAGAGGGTGGTGGAGAGAAAGGTTGTGACTTTCAGGGGGGTGATTCACGCAATCTCTACCGAGAGGCTACAGTGAGGAAAGTTTGTTGGACCAAGAGGAGGGAAGGGTGCTGGGAGAAGAGGGGAGGAAGGCGGATGGGTGAAGGCAACACGGTCGGAGAATTAAAGGGCGACAGTGAAACAAACGGTGGTACTGGTGGAAGGGAGTCGAGGAGTTAGGGGGTGTGGGGTCATGTGGTAAAAATTGGTTTCGGACCCTATACAGCCCGAGAGTGCCATGTCTAGCACATGGGTGCACATGGCAACCTGCCAGTTGTTCCTCACAAGGCACCATATGCTCGTGAACAGTGGCATTCACATAATTTTAGTCCCTCAACACAGTTGCCAGCAAGGTGGCTGCTTTTCAGCATTGCGGAGCCTGCTTTCTTGAACCACAGTGCAATCTTGCCCACCCTATGAGCCCGAACTTAGCTTCACTTCTTGGCATCGCTCTTTCAAACATAAAGGCTCTTCTCTTGTGAATTCTTGAATAACATAGTTTCCATGTTGACCCCACAAGCACTCTTTGTGTCTTTCTTGGATTTAATAGCTATCACTCTACCGCACGGACCACTCATATCATCTTGTGCTGGCTGATCCTTAGGACTCTTTGTGCAATCAACATCAATTCGCTATCCTACCCACCTGAGCCCTATACTTGCTGCTTTGTTTCGCTATCCTACCCGCGTCATCACGCCGGACGTCACGGAAAGGAGCCGGACAATCCTCACGGTTTGAGGAATACGAGGTTTATGAGTCATCTTCCTACGGGGATCGTTTTCACACTGAGCGAGCTACAGCAACAGCGTCATCGGAGAGCATGTGGGGAGACGAATTGGGGTACATGTCTTGGGGAAGTGAGCAAGAAGAGGATGGTATGGCACCCAATGCAACATGGACTCGCTGGCGGGTGACCCCGATGCGGTTTCGGCTGGTAAGTAAGTTGGGTATGGAGCGGTGGGAAAGGATCCCAAAGAGGGGGAAGGGGAAGGAGAGGTCCCTTGATTATCAACTACCTATATAAAGGTGGGCAATGGAGGCATGCAGCTTGGGTGGGCGGGTATGACACTATGATACCTAGTGGACAGGTAGGAGGCTGTGCTGCGTGCGAGAGGCAGGGAGGGAATGGGGGCAGAGGGAATGGGGCAGAAAGTGAGGGGGAGACAGGGTACCGGAGGCAGAGCGTGAGAGGGTAAGGGGGGAGGGAAGGGGGGGAGTGTGGGGAGAGATGGGGGAGAGGGGGGCGAAAAGGGGGGGCTAAGGGGGAATTTACGAAAAAGGGGGGGGGGGGGTGGGGGGGGAGATGGCTTGGGTTGCTGTTGGGGATTGATAGAGTCAATGTGACGCAACCAAATTATCATGGTGGGCCCTGGTTCCATTTCGCATAGCGCCATCTTTCCCACCTCTCTTCCTTCAGGCCCGGTACGTGGTGCGCTGCCTTCTTCACCGGCCGGTTTTACCATGATGTCCCTCCAGTTGCTGCCCTTATCCTTTCCAGGGGGGACACCACCTAGGAAAGAGCATCCGCTGACCGAGATGACAGCGTGCACCACTCCCTCGAGCACTCCAATCCAGATGCATTTCAATGGAGACATGAGTGGCACTGCTGCAGCAGCCATGGCGGCACAGGACAGGCGTCACGCCCAATCTCGGAAACAGGGAGGGCAGACCCATGCACGCTCAAAGACCCGTGCCAGGCTCGATGGCCATACGCCTGTCACTCAGGTCCCGGGCGTCAAACAACTGTGGCAGGAGAGTGTGGTGCTCAAAAAGCAACTGAGGGAATCGGCTGGAAACGTCGGGTGCGGTGCTGCAGAGCCACGTCACCATCGGCACCATGGGGCATGGAGGCAGCACAAACCAAAGTCCAACCATGCTCAACCTCGGACAGATGGTCTTGACACCCTCCCAAACCTGACTTCATACCCAGCCCACCATCCAATGTCGGCTGCAGTTGCGCGAGCTGTGGACCGTGAGATGCACCACCGCGGTGGAGCACACTGGTTGTGGGACATCAACCGAACGCAGTCCAGGTGGCCGGTTAGGATGGAAGATGCTCTGCAAACCATTCCGGATGTGTACGCTGGATTTAAGGTGTGTTGTGCCTTTTTTTTTTTCTGCCTGCTCCACACTGTACCACACAGCTGCAGAAAATGCTGTTGTTGTTGCCCTCCTTTACCTGCTCTTCATGAACCTGCCGTGCACCCAAACCCAAAATGCTCTAGTGGCTTAATGCTTGTCATGCACCATACCCACTGCCACGCACAACTGGCATTAATTGTTCCCCTGTTCTCATCCCACTCGTATTGGCCCTTCAGATGCTATTGTGGCTGTGGCAGCGGCTCGTGCTCATCCCTCTCTCGGCAGCTCCACTCTTTCCAGAACCAGTCTTTCCGACCCCACATCTACCTTAACCGCTGCTGCTTGTCCCCACCATTGCATGTGCAGCTCTTGCCTACACCATTCCAACCCAGCCCCCACCTGCCTCCCCCTTTCTTGCTCAGCCCGGACCAAACCTTCCTATTCCTGCCAGCTCCTCTCTTGCCTCCCCGACTCCAGACGGCACCACCAGTGCCATTGTGGCGAAGAAGGTAGATGGTTGGGTGCTCGTACAGCAGCTCCACCCTAAACTGAAGGTGTTGCAGTAGGCTGTTTATCACAACAGTCCCCTGTAGCTGCTATGAATCATATGTGTCCCCCCTTGCCCACATGTCACACCTTTGCTGTGCCCCTGACTATGTTTTTTTCCCTTTCACAAGGAGCGGCCCCTAACATACATGCCGTGCCCAACTGCTTCAGAGCTCGGCGAGTAAGATTGACACTAGGCTGCAACCAACATTTTGAGAGCGGCTAGCGATCTGGATGGCCCTCCCTTTTCAGCGGTATGGTTTATCCATACAACATGAACTTCCGTATGTTTTTTTTTTCCCCAAACTTTCCCCACTGCAGACCTTATGCAAGGAAACCATCAGCATCATACTGTACAACACACCGGACGAGCATATGACGATGTGGCCAGGGGATCCACCAGTTGAGGCAGCAATGCTGAAGGCCCTCTCATTCCAGGATCCTGAGCTAATACTCAAAGTCCACATGGTGTGGAACAACGACCGTTTGCACTGCCTCTGGTTCACTCGGCAGCTACAAGTTTTGAAGTGCAAGATTCATGAGCAGGGCCGTTCAACAGTGTATCTTATGCACGGCTTGCCATACACCATTCCCAAGGATGCACATGTGAGGGTGCCTCCTGTTCGCGGTGCACCAACGTCGCTGTCTAAGTTTCATAACAAAATCGCGGCTGGTGAGCACACTTGGGAATATTTTTCAGTCCATCCATTTCGTGTGTATACCATGCAGTTGCACCCCAAATACGGTGTTGCTGTTCTTACCTGTTTCTTCCAGGCAGAGGCTGGCACCTTCAACCTGCACATATGGCATGCAAGCGAGGCTCGAGTGCCATTCTCCACATCCCCATTTGAAGTGGGCATATCAGCTTCATTCAATCGGAAGTGGGCTGGCCCTCTGATCCTCAAGCTGTATCATGTTGCATATTGGCTCTTTCGAGTAAGTCTTCTGTGTATTTTCTCTTTGTTTTTAAGCATACATGATGATAAGTTTCTAATCTTTGGTCTAAACTATCAAAGTTAAAATCAATGGCTAGAATGAGGCAAACAAGGTGGTTTTGTCTAAGGGGTTGTACCCTCTAAGAGTACGCACCTATCTAGCCTATAAAACATTGACGCAATATGTTTGACACACCCCCTAAGCTAGATGAGGGGCAGTGCCTGGCAAGAGACACACAGCTCAGGGTGGCATTACTAGTCCAACCTCTGAGGTAGGGGTCCAAAGACCAGTCAGAAAGAGTACAAAATAAACAAGAGCAGCGCAGGGCGGTACTACTTGTCCAGCCATTGGGACAAGAGCCACAAGGCCAGTCAAGATAATATAAAAGTAGTACACAATCAAGGTCCTAGCAAGTGAGAAACTACAGGAACTGGACCAAGCTGTACACAGTGCCGCTGATGATCTTTAGGCGCAAGCGCCTTAGTAAAGATATCAGCTGTGTTGGCACCTGCGGCCAAGTGTACTACGCGGGCCTGGCAGCGCTGCTGTAGCTCGCGCAGGAGGAAGTACCGGAGCTGGATGTGCTTCACTCTGCCCTCCACTCGAGGCTCCTGACACAGGAGAATCATGGCCCTGTTGTCAGCGTACAGGACCTAGCTAGGCCACTTACCTAAGTCTGTGAGCAAGAACGTCAGCCAGCGGAGCTCCTGTGCTGCCATGGCACCGGCGTAGATCTCAGCCTCACAAATAGACTGGGCAACAGACGACAAACGGGTGGACCGCCACGAGACGGCGCCTGTACCAAGGCTAAAGTAGTAGCCCTGGGAGAACCTGAGTGTCTCAGCGTTGTCTGCCCACGAAGCGTCTGTGTGACATGTAAGGACCACTGACCTGTGTCCTCCTAGCACTAGCACCATGCCCTATGTACTTGCTAAATAGCGCAAAACCGTCTTAGCGGCCGACCAGTGCTGTGGTCGGTATCTGCCTGTGGCCACAAAGCGAGCCAGGATGCTGAGAGGGTATGCGAGATCTGGATGAGTGCAAGTCATCAGGTACATGAGGCAACCCACCAGCTCTTCGTAAAAACCACTAGGCTCTACTGACTCCTCAGGGACCGGAGCCGAGAGCATGTGATCTACTGGCAGAGGTATGGGCTGTGCGGAGGAGAAATGAAGACCGAACCTCTGAAGGACCAGGCGCACCAAGTGTGACTGTGTAAGAGTGATGGTGCGCGCTGCTCTGCAGGCCAAGGTTACAGCGCAGCTCTCCTAGGTCAGTGCAAGTGTTTCTCCTCAACAGCTCGGCCTTCACGAAGGCTAGTGCGTCTCTGTCTGCAGTAGCAAAGACTAGATAGTCTAC